ATAGGAATTGGGTTCCTGATGCCCAATCCTGCAAAACACCCAGGACTCTTCAAGAGACAGTGTGTGCTCTGTGGAGCTGAGGACACAAACCACCTTTGAAGATTAGGTCCTTATCAATAGCAGATCATCACAGTCTATGATTTCCTTTTGCCAGAACATTCACAAAATGCTAGAAGTGGCTCCATAAGGTCTGAATTGCCTGGTTTCACGAGAAAGTGGTCCAAGACTGCTATTCACTTGATTAAATAATGTGGATGTGAGTCTCTGCGCTTTTGCTGAACACTTCTGGGTCTATTAGAAAAATTCTTTCAAACTATTAAGCCAGAACCATATTAAACACTTGAAATGGAATTCATCTCATCTAACTTTAGGGCATGATTCATCCGACTGATTTTAGACATCTAGGGAGAGATGTATCACATCATTAAAAATACCTCATTCTTTCCACTGTCTGCAAATGGGGCCTGGAGTGACCAGCTCAGATGGAGATATATACCCACATTTGTCAAGATTATTTCAATCCAGCCCTCTCCCATAAACATATTAATGTAACCTCACTTTTGTAAGATTACAATGCAGAACAACTCTATAGCAAAGTAGTCCCTACAAAACCTGCCTCTTCCCTGTATCTTTGTCTCAACACAAAAGAATTACTTAGCATGACGAAAAAATAAAAATACGGAATAGACTTTTGCTTCTGAAAAATGAGAATGTCATGAGAACTATTTTACACAAATATATTTAGTCCAGTCCTCCTATCTTTATTTCCCACAAGCACTAACAGATGTTTGCATACCTCACGTCGTGTGATGGGAGACTGGCAATTGCATAGCCCCTATAGCCACACTGGAACAAACCCCAGTTTATTACAATATTTTTCACACAAACACAAGCAGATGAGCCAGAAATCTAAGGAGACAGTCTGTTATTGGAAAACTCTTTAGTTCAATTTTATTGATTTTAAAGGCTTAGATTGATGCACCTGAACTTTCGAACTTATCCTTCCAGAACTGAGCTGCTGAAGCTCCGAAGTTCACCCACTGCCTGCTTTACAGTCTCCCTGCATTTTCATGTTAGATAACTCCGTTTGCTCACAAAGGTAATCTAGGTAAGTTATGCACAGCTGGCATGCATAAATTGTGCATATCTGTGACATCTGCCAGTGGGAAAAACACTCCAAGTATGATGCATATTTCAAGAACGAGTGAATTAGTTCAAACTCAAGCTTTCCGGGTCATAATTGAATCAGATCTCTGGAAACATATGCAATATTTTAATGGCTTTGTCATAATTCAAGCTATTAATATTTACTGGACTGGATCATGAAACTATCCTAATAACAAAGGAAGTATAATACTTTTATTATACTGATAAAATCTTGCTAATGCTGTCTTGTTAAACAAGCCCCAAAAATTTATTCTAGTATTTTGTGCTTTTTCCTGACTTGCCGCATTTATGTGCATGTACAAGAACTACTGATCAAAGAAGTATTTGCATTTTTCTAACTCTTTTATTGGGTCTAGTCTTTAGCCTTCATGAAAGCAAAACTATACATACATTCTCTAATTAATATACCCTCAGAAGTCTGTGTTACCTCCTATGTGATAAAACACAGTGTGTGTCTGTGTATTTAACTAAATACCAAGATATTTCTTGTGGCTCCTTTAATTAAAAACAGTAGAAGAGGCTGAAGCATTAACTAATGTGGAGAAGGGTAAAGCATGGATTTTTTTACTTCCCACCAAGATCTCTTATCTCTGTGCAAGTAGTAGGCACCAAGGCTTTCACCTCTCTGGTAGCTGTACTTAAATCAGCAGCTCTGGACACTTTTGTAACAGGCTGGATGGTGTATGGACATGCACAGCCCACTCCAAGGCTTGTGGATGGCCCATGGGAAATCAGCACATAGTGGCTCGATCGGGAGCTGTGGGAACCCATCCAGCTTTCCGCCGGACCAGGACAAGCTGCCTGTTGCAACTGTTCCCATACAGCAGTCTTCAAGGCCATGATAAATGGCCCAGAGGCTAGGGACCGCAGACGGTCTGCAAAACCACACTGCCTTTCCCTCAGCCTGCCATGCATTTTGAGGATTGATATTAGTACATGACAGAAAAAATTGGAAATCGCTGTCCCAGCTGAATTTTTGTGCTTCCAGTGCAAACGTGCTGTGCAGGGAGGAAAAGGGAGAGAGCTGCTGGATCAGAACTGTACTGCATTGTAAAGTCCTTCTTCTGGAGCTCAGCTAATGGATTAGGAAGCAGATCCACTTACTATTAGTACCTGAAGGGAATAATACATTATTATTGACTTTTAATAAGTAGTGAAATGAAATTATAAACAGTGACAACTTTGGCTTCCAGGAAACCAATTTCTGACAGTGAGGGCTATCACTATCCCCATGGAGATGAGGATTTGTGATTTCTTGGTACAAAAGTGAGACAAAGCTATGAGTTAGAGAATATAAAAGTGTTTTGCAGGCAGTGCTCCTGCACTGGCTCCTGGTCTTGTCTGGAGGATATTGCAGCATGGTCCCTTTTAAACCTGTGAAAATCCTTTATTTCAGAGCCTTTCATGTGTAACAAAACGCTGACTATTTTTATGATAGATACATCTGTTTGAAACTTATAATGCTATTACTTAAAAATTGACCAGATAGTCTGCTCTTGAATGTACATGAAAATCTCTCAGATACAGAATTCTGATATTTTTACAGAACTGAACTTCTATGGCATTATTATTCACGTGCTGCAGGAGACAATGATTTCTGGTTAAGTTTTATGCAATTTATGCCTATTTTCGTCCACACTGAAGTCAATGGTAAGACACGAAGTCCTGCTGGCTGCTGCAGAAACAAAGGTTGGTTACTGAGAGACATGGCTGCTGAATTCTTGTACTGCTCTCTGTGTATGTGTGCATGTGTGCTTAAGATGCAGGAGACTTAGATGTATTGATTTTACAGCAGCTTTTTTCTTCGCTTTTAAATGAAGTGGAATGAGGAGCAAATAGCCTGGCAAACAAAAGAAACAGAACTATTATTATAACTGCCTGAGGTTTTTTACTCCAAGTGCAGAATCACAAGGAAGATTGGCTCTCAACTCTGTCCTATATACCCATGTGAAATCTCTGCCAAAATGTGGAGCAGCCTGAAATCCAGCCAAAAACCCACCCTGTCATCTACTGTAGCGTTAAAGGTCAGGTATAGTGCTTGCTTGCAGTTATTTAATAAAATACTTCATTGCTTTCCACACCTCTCTGCAAAAATGGGACTGGAAAAGGCCTTTCCACCTGCACTGCTTAGGTCAGGGGTCCTCTTCCTTGGAGACTGCTGGTGCATCGCAGTGGACCAGGCTGTTCTGCTACGGTCACACTCCAGGTTTATTCCAGTGGTGGCACTGACTGGTGGGAAACCACATCCCTCCCTCTCCTCTCCCTTCTTCTCCCCTTTCTTCCTCTCCCCTGGACGTTGGTTGATGGCTCTGATTATGGAGCCTCCAGGAAAGCGGTCTTTGTCGTAAAAGGCCAAAGTTCATCAACTTCCATTTACATCAGTAAACATGAACAATTCTTCCGGAGCCTGAGAAATCAATTCCCACAATACATCAGCCAGTCGTGCTTTAACTGACTGAATTGAAATGCCCCTTCTAATCTGCATCAGAGGAATAAAACCGATCCTATCGCATAATGTGTAAAGATGGGAGCGGAAGAGGGAGCGGTACTCACCATTGCACATGCAGCGCACATTCCTGTAAAAGCGGGGGCACACAAAACTAATTCGTGCCGTGCTATAGGTCATCAGGGAATGTGAATCAATAGATAGACTTTGCTCACAGTGTTGTTCCTGACAATCCAGTCCAGAGCAATTCTTCTCCAAGATAGCAGAAATGCGAATCACATTTTCCAAGTGTCTCCTTGCATTGGTAAGCTTCTGTATCAAATAGGCAGGCTTATAGAAACCACCGTTGTGCATCTGAACTGCAAACAGCATGTCAAGCTGATTGCTGCCTGCCACCGGCTGAATACTGATGATGTGCAGGCTGTCTTGTTTTTGGGAGAGCACTGCATTTCGCAAGGTACGCCTGAACCCGTGCATGTGAAGGCCCACAAAGTCTTCCGGGGAAACGTTCTCAAAACGGATGGTGACTGTGTTCTGCAGCATTTCTTGTAGCAATTGCTCAACGTGGACCACAACATCGATGGGCACCTGGAACCGGCCATCACTGACAGAGACATTCAGGACATACTTGCCGTTATCAAGCCCTCCAAGGGCAATGATCTTCCCATCATGGCTGTTGACCTTGAACAAACTTTTCTGCTCTGATTTTAGCGTATATGTAAGGACATCGTACACATCCTGATCTGTGGCATGAATTTTCCCAATAACTCCCCCAGGAAAATCATCTTCCATGGTGACAATGAAAATCTCCAGTGGAATGGCAGTCGGTTTGTGAATGCTCTCTTCAATAACCCTCACCTGAATGTAGGTGTGGGAAACCTGCTGAGGCTTCCCAGAGTCCTTTGCCTAATGTAATTTAGAAAAAATAAAAAATAAAAACCAAAATAAACCACACATATAATACAGCCAACAACCATAACTTCTTGCTATATATATTTTCACAGCATAAATAATTCTGAAGACCTCTCAAAAGAACTTCCCAAACGCATTTGCAAAAAACATATGTAAAGAAACATCTCAGCCATTTCTAGCAGTGGAACTTACAAACTCTTTAGGGAAGCACAGATATCTCATCTAAGTGGATTGCAGAGAGAAATGTGTCAGCAGAATGTCTCATTACTCAAACTGAAATGTTCCCAGGATCCCACAGCTATCACTTGTCCTCTTCACAACAGAGCCATTTGAATGTGGTATATTCTGCACCAAATGGAGTTTGGGCTCACTTCTACCTTGGAAAAGAGACTGAAGCCCAGTGAAATACCAGCATCAGTTTCTGCATTGCTTGGCATGCTCCAAAGTGTTTCAGACGCTGCTTAGTTTGTGTGGATGTGAGGGAGTTCAGAGCTTTTCTACAGCACTCTGTACTACTTTACCTGAAGCCAGCAAGAAACATGCTTGAAATAAATAAAATTTATCACCCTCCAAAAATGAAAGAGGGTGCTTGTGCTGTTACTAACGATAAAATATGAGAGCAGCACTGCACTTGGACAGATGACTGCATGACCCAGAGCACACATGATAGCATCATTTGCACTTTTTTATAGAGAGTAAAAGAGCAAGTATGACAAAAAACCCAAGGCCATCCTGACAGAAAGGTGTGCAAACTTGAATCAGTCTCCTTTCCTGCACTAAGAAAAATGTTGCATTGAAATCACCATTAAGATATACTGCTCCACACGTTTATTTGCTCCAGAGAAGAACAGAAGACTAAAATACCACTGGGCAGAGATGTAGCACACATTCAAAGATCTTTAAATTTGGACATGCGGAGGAAAATTTACAAGCTAAAAAAAAAAAAAAAAGACAGGATGGCAATAGTGATATGGACATTACTAGGAAAGGATTGGTAACTCTAAGACACTGTAAAAATCATTCATCCTCACTCCTAAAAGGGCTGGGTGGAGTACGTCAGAAAAGATTTTATGTATATGTGCACACACATACACATATACATGCACAGAGATTACATCCTATTCCACTTTCAATTTTGACATTATTTTTTAATAAACATAATACAGAGGAGGAACCTGATGGTGGAAAGGAGAAAGCAGCTCTCTGGCACATATGAACGGAAAGAAACATTTCTATGGTCTATACACAACAGGAAACTAAAATATGTTTTCACTGCAGAAATCTCTAAAGAAAATAATACTCAGAGGAATTAGGCCTCCACAATCCAACAGCGTGGTTTTCTGAACATGCTGGTGCATCTCAGACATTGTGGTCTAATATTTCATTTGCATGACATACTTGGATCTATATAGCTAGAGGATGTTCCTTAAATTTAATTCTAATGCCGGGTTTTGGCTATACTGGAACTTTGGCTAGCAAATTGCCCTGAAAGCAGGATATTTTAGGATGAAGGCACTGTAAGAGGGAAAGGTGAGGTTTTTTTATTTTCTAGAAGACTCAAAAAATGGGTTGCAGGAATATTAAATGGCAAACTAGTAAAACGTTGCTTTGATTTGAACTGTCTATTAGCATCAGAGTTTGTATTTTTTGAATTGCCACTCATTGAGGATGCTACTGCTACAAAGAGCATTAAGTGTGCTTGTAAAGGAGCAGACAGAGAAATTTATTTAGAGAAAATTTATTTTGAGAAATCAACCTTGGTAAAGCAAGTGGAGGAAGCCTGCATTTCAGACTTAGATGTGAGGACCATGTCCCATTTCAATGAAGAGGTGTAGTTCATTCCCTAGACTTGCATATTTACTGAACCCTACTACATTTTCTCTGGCAGGCCTGAGAGATGTGGACAAATTACTTTTGGATTTACAGTTTTTTGTAATCAAAATTACCCTGGTTACAAAGTTCCTCAACAATGAGTCTAAAGCTAAGTTTGAGCTGGACTTCTATTGCATGTCTTATTTTCACATTCTTTAAAAGCTAAGTTGACCTTGGAAATGTGATTTCATGAATTCTTGGTAGGCTTCCAAAAATTTATGATTAAATTTATGACTTAAAAGCAGAAGTGATTTTCCTTCCTAGAACAATATTTTGCTGTCACTTGTTCTGTGGTGTATTTATATGTACATAATGCATTTTCGCTTATTTTCCTCACTTAGCTACAGAATAAAAAAGATGAAAATCTTAAATCATAATGTCCGCTGCTCAGAAAATCCATTTCATGCAGAGGAAATTGGAAAGGTGGCTGGCTACCTATTTATATTTATATGAAATTAGGTTTAAGGACATCAAAGGAAATATACCATACTGTGCACTTGTAAATTGGAATGCATAGTATTTACTCATAGAATACAGTCAATTAAAGCCAACCCATACAGGTAATGTACAGATGACCTACCACTATGAGGGTTTTTGTTTCTGTGCAGATGCAAAAATCAAGCCATACCTGCACACAGAGCACATATTCGGTTGCAACCATGTGCTTGAAGATGACTGCAGATCTCAAGACGCCGTGAGGGTCCAGTGTAAACTCCTCCTCTTCATTGCCAGTGAGGATGGTGAAGGTAAAAGGGGGGCCATTGTGAAAAGAGTCTTTGTCTGTCACTACCAGCTGCAAAATGCTTGTGCCCACCGGTTTATTTTCCTTTACACATATACACAGTGTATAAAGAAAAGGATTAAAATGATACATATCACAATCATAAACCACCAGATATTGATGTTGAGAATATTCAGCTGAATGCTTTTTGCCCAAGACGGCATTTCACAAGCAGCGTTTATTTGGCACCGCTTACACCTCACGGACCGGTAGCAGAGATGGAGGTACCCACCACATCCCCAGGGACCGATGAGCTCTGCCTGATGCTGTGTCTGATCAGGGCTGACTTACCACTAAGACTTGCACCCTGAGCAAGGTGCGAAGAAGTGCGAACTCATCCCAGCTCAGACTTTTTGAGGCCAGAGTACAACTTTTGGCACAACAGGGATGAACGGTAAAATGTGTGACAGATGATGAGGCTAAAGAGCCTCATCAAACAGAAACTTACGGAAGAGTTAAGAAAGATGTGTTTATATTTTCCTTTAAATAAGATCACTGGATACATCTTTGGCAGATAAATCATCAAAAGCTACTTAACTGAAACCAAATGCTTTTGTATTTTAAAAGTCAGAGAAGTTTTGGATGCGCAGGATAAACTTACTTGAATTACAGCTGTATAGTTAGCTGGAGTAAATACAGGGCTATTATCGTTCACATCGGAAATGTCCACGTTGACCGTCACAGATGAAGACAAAGGAGGGATGCCGCTGTCTCTTGCCTGGATAACTAATGAATAACCAGATATCTGCAAAAAAGTGAAAACATTAAATCATCATGAAAGCGATCCTAAATTTTAACTCACGTTCCTTACACCCAGTGCACCACCTATGATATTCTAAGACAAGCTGTTTGGCCTCATTACCTTCCCTGCCCTTAGTATAATATTATCCTGTTTATTGCCACACTGTATCCCAACTTCTGTTTTATATAGGGCTATCAATAAACGTAACAGTTTCACTGTACTAAAATAACTGTATCAGATGATGCATTCCTGAAACAAAGGGGCAGACAAAAAATAAATGATGGATAACATCCAAACTCAGCCATTACCACTGTAGCTAACATTATCATCTCTCCTAGGTGTCAGCTGGGATATGTGACCTGATTCTATTTATCTTACAGTTGATTTCCAGGATATTATATAAATTACTTATTAAAGCCAACCTCAGTTTGACAGACAGTGTTTCTAACATGGTGATGGAGAACCAATAAAAAATTCACAGACACTTGGCTTAAACACACTGGAAAACATTTGGGACTACTAGGGGCAACACAGTCTCTGGAGCAACACGGTATTATCCACCATTCAGCAGAAGACACGGGTTTTTTGAGCGTACTTGTTTGCAAGAGCCACAAACTACTCAGCATGGTGTGGGCAGTTCAGTGCATTGCCCATGGGCCCTCTACGCACATATGTGCCCGTGCGTGAGGTGTGAGCGTATGTGACAATTTGCAAAAGCTCTGTCTACGCACAGCTTATGGATGACAGTTTGGTTTTATGAACTGCATCCTTATGTCAGCCTCCTTACGTCTTACGACTGCTTTTCACTGTATATCGCTCCTCGCTCCCCAGGGAGAGCTGCTGACACATCTGCCCGTGGATCCTTCTACGGGGGAGCGAGCAAAGGGCAAAACGCCTGCCAGATAAAACACCCCGCTCCTGCCTCTCGGTGCGGGGCTGGAAAGGGGAAAAACATGCCCCTGCAGAAGGGAACGATGTAATGTTAAAGCTGCTTTTTCAGGGTGAGAGAAAATCCAAAGCCATTTGAAAAATAAAAGCTGTTTGGGTAGGAGGGAGGAGTACAGGGTCAGTGTACAAAACAAGGGGGCTCTTCTGAGATGTGGGACCAAGCTAAAGAAAAAGATAACAGTTTTTTGGAGGCGTTGTACGGAGGAGTAAGAATGCGATTTGGTGGGGGTATAGTGGCAGAGGAGGGAGGAAGAATCCTGAACTATGGAAAGTCAAGAAACTGAGGCAGAGAATCAATCTTTTCTTTTTCTCTTTCGAGCTGTAATTTCTACTGCTAGCTAAAGTCAAGATTGACAGTTTTGCGGAGTCTCTCCCAAACTTTGTGTGTGTTTGCTTTCATTTCCATGTATCCCAGAACGGTAGGTGGCAAAAGTAATGGTTTCTGTGTGATTACAGCTCTGGAAATGAGTATCCTTAAACCACGGAAACCTGGGAGTCAGCACTGCCTTTGGGGATCTACAGCAGATGGGGCATCATGTATCATTTTCCCTGAAGGGGTCAGAAACACCTGTGTCTAGCAAATGTGCCAAGAAAGCAAAGAAAAAGACAATATCACAGCTTATTTTAACTGAGGGAAACTTTGGAAAATGCAGATCTAACAGAGCTGGCATTAAACGTGCACACGCCGGTGAGGGTGAATGTGTGTGCCTGAATGCAGGTGTACGTGAGTACACTTCAGAAACTAAACAAAATCATATTAAGAAATTAAGCCTGTGCTGTTTAAGAGAAATACATTACAGCAAATTTGTAACATGCACAGCCATTGTTACCTCCCCATCCTTGACAGTCTGCAGTAAAGTCATTCTGCCACCAAACACTGACAATTTAATCCTGCCTTTGTGATAAAATACAGAAAGGATATTTGCCACTAGTATAAGCAGTAGCCCTGCTTCCAGTAGAGAGCTTTTCCAGCTGAGCCCATATTCTGAGGATAGCAATCAGCTTCCCCAGTTTCGCGGATGCATTGCTCAGAGGCAGAAGACATGGATTTCTTTATGTGCCGCAAGACTTTTGAAGCCACGTAACACTCTCCTGCTCTGCTACTAGCACAGGCAACGGTATTTGTTTGTTTTTTTCCAACAGCTGCTAATTGCTAGCTATGGCAAAATGGTCATAAATCACCCTGAATGAATAATCTAGTGAGCAAACAAAGCAGCAGAATCTGTTTAATGAAGCACTCTTTCACTTTTGGTATAGCCTGGCCACTTCATAACATCAGCTCCCCAGTGACATGTTTTGCAGAGCGCTAATTAATGGCTGAGGTCTCAGCTTGGTGCTTGGTGCCACAATCTGGAGTATGTTGTAATCACTGCGTTGCACACACCGCTGCACGGGTGTGCTTGCACGCGCAGGAGAGAGGAGGCAGCTCATTAACACAGCAACAGCTGCCGGTGGCACCACAGGAGAAACCCAGGGTTGCTTTTTTCCCTGATCTGGCCTCAGGTGCCGTGTTGGTGCAGGATGGGAATGCTAGCAGAGCAGTTGGCTTGTAATAGGACTGGGGATAGGGTTGGGGTGGGAAGAAGTTGAACAACATTAGAAAGACCTGTCGGAGCATCTTAGGCTGATCGTTGCAGAGTATAAAAGAAGCTTCTTCAAAACAAGCTACAGCAGAGTTGAGATCTATACACATCTGTAAGTCATTGTAAGTTAAGAAGTCCCACATGTCTTACCCTTTCTCGGTCCAATTTCTTTTTAACCTTCACGAGTCCCAAAACAGGATCAACCGAAAATTCATTGTCTCGATCCCCATTCACTATGGAAAAATGAATCTGGCCATTGGAAGGACTGTCCACATCTTCTGCTATCAACTTTTTTGAAAGAAGAGTGAAAATTAGCAAAACAAATATTAAGCCATCTGTATGATACATTAATTGCTCAACACCCCAAAAAGTAAGACTTCATATTCCATCAGACTAGTTACATCTGAACTGCACACCTCTACAGCATCAAGCCAAGCATCAAGCCAATCGGTTTTTGATAGAAGGCTCCCCTTGGACCTTTTCAAAATTCTAGCCTTAAAACATACACAATATTTTAATCTTAATATACCATATACCACTTTCTTTCTGTTCCAAGATGAGAGTACTGTGAGGTTTGGTATGGCACACTGCATGCCAGACTACATAAATACTATGTATTTCACTGAAAAGTTGAATTCTGCCTTTCCAATAAAACCCACTTGTTTTTAGCTGACTCATGAAATGCAACGCCTTAAACATGCCATTGCTCTTTCACAGCATATCAGGGTTAAAAAGAAACAGTCGGTGCTACTACTACTTTCTTTTGGGGGGAAACCGGCAGCAGCCTGGAAACCGGTAGCAGACGCAGAGTATTGGCTAGAGAACAGTTTGAGTGATTCAAAATGCAGTAGTTATCATTATTAACCAGTGTAGCAGTATTTTATTAAAGGTCATGTAGCAGAGGGCTTCACCCTGCCTAAATGCCGCCCACGGCCTCACTCACCATTATCACCGAATCACCGATGGCGGCATCCTCGCTGATGACTGCGCTGTAGACCACCTGGCTGAATTTCGGTGCGTTGTCGTTAACATCTGTCACATTTACGTTCACGGTCGTAACGGCGCTCAGGGCTGGAGTACCTCCATCTTTTGCCTCCACTACTAAGTAGAAATCCTTACACGATTCATAATCCAAAGCTTCAAAAATGGAAATCGCTCCTTTGAAGCAAGGGAGGGAATGTCAACAGCCAGCGGAAAACAAATAATGCTATGGGCGAAGGGATTTGACTGTAGTAAACAGTACGGCATGCTATTTATCACCGTGGCACACATACAAAATATGTTGTTCTAACTGTAACACTGCCCAATCCAATAAAAATATTTGGTCAGGTTTCTACTGCTGTCGTTTGATTAAAGAATGATGCCAATTGCACTTGGGTTGCCTCTGCAGAAAGGACCTTCACAAGGCATGAAGCAATGAATGGTTTCTCTTGAAAATAGCTTTCATTATACGAGTATCGTAGATGGAAAAGTGGGGGCCATAGCCACCCATTTGCCTGGGCTCATGCACGCAGCCCGTGGGAGAACTGGATGCCGACTCTGGAAATCAGCCCTGACAAGTCAACAGAAATTCACTCCCACGTAATTAACTTCTCATGAATTAAATACAAATGAATGGGATATGAATACCTTTGAGAAATCAGTTGTCTATCATTTACGTGATTAAACAGGGACTTCCCCGCTCAACTAGGTTTATAAATTTTGGGTTCCCTCACCACACAATCAAAACTAAGACTCTCTGTAACTTGACTCACTCTGCCTCTAGGACAGAACCGCCTCTAGGACAGAAATGATTTTTATGCAAGCAAGTACATTGTTTCCCATGTACCCATAACCTTAACAAGAAGGGGGGAGTGGGCTGTACACAGATTACTAGTGATGCCTTGAAGGAGGTAATACTGAGCGTGGCAGGAAAGACTTAAAAGCAAATCCTAAAACTTGGCAAGCCAAATCCTTTTCAATATAGACCCATCAGGAGCAGGGATGTATGGGCTTAAAGGTCATTTAGTCCAACTGCTGCCCAACACAGGTCAGCTAAACCTAATCATTCTTGAAGGTACTCATCTCTAATGTTCTTATAAACCTCCAACAACAGCAGTTTCCTAACCTTCTTAGGAAATGTATTTCAGTACTTAATAATCATTACAGTTAGGAATTTCTTCCTATCATTTAACCGAAATAATCCAAATGCAATTTAAGCCCATTCACAACTTCTTTTCTCATGAGTGGGCATGGAGAAGTTTATTCCCCTCCTCTTTGTAGGTACTTTTTACAAGCTTGAATACTAACAGCATGTCTTCTCTTTTCTAGCCTAAATAGCCTCAATTCTTTCAGTCTTTCCCGGTAAGCCACATTTTACAGACCTCGGATCATTCTTCTTAATCTCGTCTGGGCTCTCTGCAAACGAATCCTACCTTTCAGCATGACTTGCTGGAAGCAGGAGCCCTGAAGAGAAGCTTCCAAGTGGCTAGCAGAGGGTTCCCACTGATAAATGGTGTGAGGGGCATTATTTTTCAAGCCCTGATCAGGCATGCTACATCAGCACCCGGCTGTCTGGAAACTGAGCTCCTGCCTCTAAACCGATAATAATGGAGCTGTCACACATTAATGAATAATAAATAGTTTTTTTTTTTCCCCGTGTGATTAAGCTTCATTATGGGTTTTTATTGATTTATCTCCTTGGCTTCATTGTCAAATGTGAAGTTAAGTATTGCTGTCTAGGTGTATTTATGTTTAAATTTTGTTAGCACTAATCAACATTATGAAGATAACAGACAACACACAATTATGTTAAGTCCCTTACATGTAAGGCAGTGGCCTCCGCAGAGTGGAGAGAGATTTTTGCACACAGTAATATAAATGACACAATGCATCAATTTGAGATTTTCCAGGTTACTGCTTATTACAGCTGCACTCAAACAAGTGTTACCTTCAGCTTTCAAAATCAAGATTGTTTTGCTCGGAAGCTCTGGTGGCAGATTTGTACTGGTCATCCCAAATGTTATGAGAATAAGGGGATTCACTACAGGAAGCACAGAAGAATCATAGCTTACTGTTGATGGATTAAAACCTCAATAAGGATAAAGAATATATCCCACTAAGAAAATTCAAAGAAAATGAGCCATTTGCACCAAATAAGGTAGCTTTTCTTAGTATTTCTTAAAAGAGAAGCAGCAGTATGTTTTTTAAATTTATGATGTATAACCAAAAAAAAATCCCCAAACCATGGCTGAAGTCAACTGTCAGACAACACAAATCAGGAGCAACCTAAGTCAGTGAAGTTGCATACAGTTGTATAAACAGCAATCACGTGTTAGGACTGCCAGCTATTTGGTCCTGATAGCACTGTCTGATGCTTGCTAAGGTCCAGACAGTTGAGGCTGTACTCAGCTGGTAAGCAGGTACTGCAAGTGTTCATATCTGTAAGGGCTGCACTGTTTGGCTAACGGGCTGTCACATCTACATTGACTTCAACAGACATACTAATGGAGAAAAGTATTCTCCACTCGAGTTGGGGCAGCTGAGTGTGACTGTAATTTACATCACTCTCCAACCTAAAATTGGTTTTTAACTGTGCAACTAATTCCACACTGACAAGCTTTGAGTCTCTGTTCTTGGAAATTTTTTGGTCCAAGAGCCTTCCCCAAAGCATTCATTTTTTTCTGATGCTTTCATTTTGCATTACAAGTAAGAGCCACTTTACAAACCTGTTTTTGAGTTAATCCTGAACTTCCCTTTCTCATTCCCTGATCTGATGAGATAGGCAATCTCAGCATTAGTACCAATGTCTTGGCTTGTAGCAAAAACAGAAAGGACCTCAGTGCCAGGTGAGGTGTCTTCAGGTACTGTAACAAGATAATCTCTTCTTTCAAACACAGGGGGGTTGTCATTAATGTCTAGCACTGTAATGGTAACGGTGGCAAATGAGGACAAGGTCAGCACAATGCTCTGATCTGAGGCCTTTACACTGATGTTATAGGAAGACTGAAGCTCTCTATCAAGTGGATGCTCCAAAATAATGATTCCCGATGACCGGTCAACTGAGAAGTAACCATCTGCGGAGTCTGCCAGGGAATATGTCACTTTTCTGTTCACACCTAAAAGAGAAGCAAATGTGAAAATGATAAAGTGAAATAAAGAAGACAACAACCTCTTCCCATCTAGCAGAAACCCTAAGCAAAATCTGCTATTACACTGATCATTTCCAATGGAGGTAGGAATGCCTGTGGGTACGGTATTGCTGAAAGTTTGGATGATCAGGACATGCTCTTCCCACATGTCAAATCCCTGTGGATAAGTTAAGTTCGTTCCCTCATCAAGATACTTTTTTAAAAGATCGCTTTGCAGAACTGCTGTGCAATGAAACTTGAAAGCAGAATCCAGATATGGTCCTTGCCCAGAAAAGCTTACAATTGAATTAGATGAGACAGGCAGAATACTGAAATTGGAAATGTCTCAGAGCACATCTTGAAGGAATAGAAATGTACATAAGGGAAAAATAAACCCATAAAAATACATCAGGTGGCACAGAATGTACTTGCTACCAGTGCTGCCTTGATTCCACTGTTGAGCAGCAAAATATTATCATAAGACGATACCTGTTAGACAAAAGCTGCATCAAAGAACTCCTGCCAGAATACGGACATTTTAGAAAGGAAAGTCCCCCACTCCTCCAGTTTGAGAGCAAAAATTGAGTTATATGAAAGATATCCTGTGTTTTTCAAATCCTGCCTGTATTTCTTAATACATAACACCTATCTGTTGCTGAATATGCAGATCTATGCTAAGGTGGTTGTCAGTAATAAGGCCTGAGGGGAAGGTACTGGCTTGGTTGCTTGCTGCACTACAGTGGGATAGCCATTTCAAATCTAATTAGAAGTGAACACAGATACAACCTAATTCAACTCCCTTCATGCTGGTTGATTTTGTGATTTGGTCCTGGGTGCTCCACTAAGAGATGATAAATAAAACACAAAGATCCACTAAAATGGAGACTCTCTGGTTTTAACATCTCTCACTTGAGCATTTGCTGCCCTTTTTGTTGGAGAACAGACTTTACAAGCCTGACATTAATCAGATGAACAAAAGCTACCAATCCCTTCTAGGCATATTTTGTTAATTTAAAATTTCTGACAGTATTATTCTGCTTTCCAGCAGCAAAGCATTGTAGAAATGTCTGATCAAAAGTAGCACAAATCACAGTTGTTTTCTGCTTGACATAGCAGGAGTAGAGCATCCACACAAGGGGGAGCTGGGAGACTTCTTCTTCAATCATATGCACGTAAAAGCAAGAGCAACTACAAATTCCCAGACCCTACTTCGAAAGCGTTAGGAATTACTACTTGGCCTCTTCAGGGAATAAAGTTTTTATGCAGTGCTTGAGACACCAGAGTATATTTCAAATGTTCAAATGTCTTTAAAATAAGGAAAATTTTAAATGGCAATATTGCAATGAACCAGGTTGTTGTTGCTTGTTTTTTTTTTTTTTTTTTTAATAACAGCAGAACCTCTCTATTCACCATGGCATCTCAAATGTGAAAAATACAGAGGCTGTCCTTCAGCAAAACAGGCAAAGCAGCCGAGGAGGTGACTCCTGTCCTAGAGACGAGGAACCGAGCTCAGCCGATGAACTAGTTGGAGACTCTTTCATGTGTTGAAACACCTAGACTCTGAATACCCTACAGTCTGCTGGAGACCATGCTCACCTCTTCACTTAGCCTCTTTATACATGCATCCAAATGCTCTGTCAGCTGACAATCAACCAAACTGACAAAAGTGAAAAAGGAGTAAAACCCTCTGGGAAGTGGAAGGTTTTGAGGGTCTGAATGGCTGGAGGTATGTCTATATTTCCTGCAAGGGAGGATCTCCTTCTGCTAAAAGTCCCCCCTGAACTTCCACTTACAAAAAGGAACAGACCTGACCAGAACAATTAATGAGCTAGTAATTAGAGCTGATCCCTGGGGATGCTGGAAAAGGGGATTTTGCCTGATTCAGAGCATGCAGTTGAACACCCAACCTATACATGGGTTTTAACTATAAAGCTATTTAGTATTCTGTACTGGGCTCTCTTGATGTCTGCCAGCTTCTACATAGAATTAAATACTTCTCTGAAGCAGGGACCTTAACACACACTTTCCACGCATATGTGTCTGTGACTGCAGGAGAGCCTTAGGCTGGTTTGGGTTCTTCTCTGGCACAAAAACCCAGTTTGATACTCACTACAGCATACCTGGGCACAAGACACAAGATTCAGATACCGCGGTCTTTAAAGGAGAAATAGCTAGAAAGGAGATGGCCTACCCATGACTTGTGTCTTGAAACACCCCAGAACTTCAGCAAGAATATCTTGCAAGGGGGAGTGAGGAGAGACAGAATGTGGTGATGTGACACCACGTAGGGTGAGTTTATGCACAGGAGGTGGTAACTCCGGTGACTGCAGTCTGATTGATACATAATCTGACCACTCCCCTTGTATTGTACTTCCTAAAGGTGATGTCCATTAATTAACAAAATATGAAAAATGTTTTTTGATAAGTGATTGCTAGTGATCCTACAATGAGAACAGTTCAGATACAGATTATGGTGTTCTGGTTGCTAACACTAATATAAGGGATTTTTAGGCAGAAATGGAGAGAGTTACTTCTTGAAAGCAAGTGCTTTTATTTTTCCTTCCTGGAAAACGAGAGTGGAATACAGAAGTTCCAGGGATGTGGGTTGTGTACCAGTCTGGTTTGATGATGAAAACAGTCTTATTTTTCCCAGGGGACCTGGAGGAAAAACTCTTACAGGTGAAAATGCCATTTTATGCAAGGAGAGACAGAAGATCAGAGCAGACGACCTGAGCTGGGACACTCACAGATACCAACCCTTGTTGGCTTTCAGCCTGAAGGCAGAGGCAGAATAGAAGGAGAAATGCAGAGGCAGATTTTTGGGAGGAAAATGAATTCAATGAAAAGCTGTGGCAGAAACAGCACTTTGAAGAAAGCGTTGCGTTAGATCAACAGCTGTTTCCACTCAGCTTCCTGACCCGAGGCTGGAAACAAAATGGACGCGAGGCAAAGGTGAAGTAGCAACTTATTTCTACTGAAATCCAAAATGCTTTAGTCCAGGGGGTACCATCTGCTGAGAGAGAAGCGTCCACCATGTGGCAGTGTGCTCCCCCCGCGTAAGCAGTAACACCAGTGGGGTTGTGACGGCTGCTTCCAGCTTACGCCGGACTTTGGGGACGGACGACAACACAGTAGCCAAGGGCTGTCTGGAGCAGTGACCCAAACATCTTACTGGTATGCAAATATGACTATAAGTCAATCATCTTACTCTATAAATAGTGGACAGCCCAGGGCCCGTTGAGCTCTCCTGCACAGCAGTGGGCTGCGTGCCAGGAACTCCCCTTGAGTAGGGACGCCTCTCAAGGTTACTCCTCGAGATTGAGAGATTCCTTGCCGCAACAGATCCTCAGTAAGTGACTAACAGCATGCTAAACTTTGAAATCTTAGCTAAATGATATAAAGGATTGATTGCACGTGTATAATCCTTCAGACATAAACCGTTGACCAAGTCTGGGACTAGGACTGGATCCAGCTGCACCTAGACACCCCTCTGAGAAGGAGTTTAGAAAGCAAGGGGGTCCTTTCTGAACCTCATGACTCAACGGGAGGGTCCCCCTGACAGTTCTGTCTGACCCTGTCCTCTGTGCAGTAAATAATCAAGTGTACCTTGCCATCGAATCTTATTAAACCACTATTGCATTTACCATTGAACTTTGTCAACCCACTGTTTTCTATCAATAAAATACATTTTTGCTTCTCTCTTACAAGTGAAGTGCACTCTCACTCCCCCTGTGACACACCAGTGTGAGTCAATGGCATCCCTGCCGTGGAGGCAATGGTAGATTCTGTGACTGTAAAGAAGATGTTTTCTGTGGAAAGGAAACAACTGCTCCAACACCATGGTTCCTGCATTGGTAAAGAGAGCAATCCTCCCACACCGCTTGCCTACAGCTGTTGGGGGATTAATGTTTGCAAACTGCGCTGTGTCTATTCACTCACTCACTTAAACTTCTCAGATTTCTAAGGTGCCAATCACGAACATAAGCTATTTGAACATGGAAAGCTTTGCAGGAGTTACTATTACTGTAAGAGGATTGCAGTACATTTTTTAAATAAAGGAATAAACAAGCACGTTTTCTATTTAGACTTGTATTAGCATATGATAGAATATTGCCCTTTGCCAAACATACAGCTGTCTAGTACCTCAAATGCCATCCTTCAAACAGGGTTTTTTTCTTGTTTTCTTCTGTACTAAAACAAAGGGGCATGCACTGAATGTCACATAATGACATCTTCTGTGTCATTAGTACTTTAAATAGCACCAGGGAAATTAAGTTCTCTTTATAATTCAGGAGTATCAAATTCCTCCTTGTCTAACTCATAGAATCATAGAATCATTTAGGTTGGAAAGGACCTCTAAGATCATCGAGTCCAACCGTTAGCCCAACACTGCTAAGTCCACCACTAAACCATGTCCCTAAGCACCACATCTACACGTCTTTTAAATACTTCCAGGGGTGGTGACTCAACCACTTCCCTCGGCAGCCTGTTCCAATGCTTGACAACCCTTTCAGGGAAGAAATTTTTGCTAATATCCAATCTAAACCTCTCCTGGCACAACTTGAGGCCATTTCCTCTCGTCCTATCGCTTGTTACTTGGGAGAAGAGACCAACCCCCACCTCGCTACAACCTCCTTTCAGGTAGTTGTAGAGCGCGATGAGGTCTCCCCTCAGCCTCCTCTTCTCCAGGCTAAACAGCCCCAGTTCCCTCAGCCGCTCCTCAGAAGACTTGTGCTCCAGGCCCTTCACCAGCCTCGTTGCCCTTCTCTGGACACGCTCCAGCACCTCAATGTCCTTCTTGTAGTGAGGGGCCCAAAACTGAACACAGGATTCGAGGTGCAGCTCAATTAAAAATGGTGGAGTTACAACATTGTTTGATCCAGACTGATACCAATTAAAAGGCTGAGCATTAATACAACAGGCGCAATCCCCATATGACAGGGAGTTTCTGCAATGGGCATTACCGGCCGATGGCATCACACTCAAACTAAAATTTATATGTATTAAAGGCCATACATAGTGTGTTTCTCCTTTCTGTTTTCATCTGTCACCCTGAACTCATTATTTAATGTGCTTCCCCAAGTATAGCTAGTCCACTCGTTCCTGTTTATCTCTGGAAAATGATGCATAACTTTGTCATCTGCTCGTTTTCATTATGAAAACCTATGGAAAAAAAAATAATGGCAAGCATTAAAAATAAACAAACAAGAAGTAACACAGAAAGCTGTCCACAAAGAGAGCTGTAAAAAAAAGTTATTTATTAATTTAGCTTGATTTGCAAGCATGATATCTGATTATTGTGCTTCCTCTTGCCTCTGTCTTTCATGGTGTGACCATTAACACCGGCATGTCCCTATGGCCTTTCCTGGTTACCCAAACGTTAACCACAACACCAATTACAACTTCATTAACAGCAAACAAGATAAAAGATGAATACTAAACCAGATTTTATAATACTCTATTCCATCATTTTGAGATGAAAGAGAAAAATCTTGCCAGAAGTACCTTGCTGAACTGTAGAAGAATATATAGCCCCATAGGGAAAATTTTTACAACTTAAGGAGAAAAGCTGGCCAAGTTCAATCCATAACACGGCTACTGAGACAGGCTTTCACTGCTTTGTCCCTTTTCCGTGGGGAAATGATAGCCTTAACCCCAAAGGCCTTTACTCATACCAGTGCTCCAGCAGAGTCACGGTACCATGGGATGAAAGCAGGGCCACAGAGGACAGAGGTGAAGATAACCAATCCCTTAGTGAAGGGAAATACCGGACAGAAATGGCAGGCATAAGCTTTTAGTGGTATGATACCTTCCACGGGTGTTTACAACCCTGCTTTCCATTTCATCTGGGTCGTGTGTTGTCTTTTTGGGTGGGAAGATGAGATCTGGATGGTTGGCTCACCCTCCCTCTCTTTTCTAGCAGAGATTTACATAGCCCAGGGTCCTGGCTTACATGACTTGACATGAATACTTGTTTCCATCAGTGCTCCTAAGTGATTCACTTCTTCATGCTGATCAGGCATAAGCCTGATTATTTTTCTGAAGTGGGGGAGACCATTTTGGATACACCTGATTTAGGGTTAAACACTGCAGCTGACAACATTGGGCAACATAGCCTGAAGCAATGGAATGCACATGTAGAGATATACATATAAAAAAACATACGCATGTATGTATGTGTGCATATATATACATACACAGACATACACACACATACATATATGTTTCAGTGATCCAGTTTAAATACAGGGCTTATTCAGTCAACATAATCCAAGAGGCGCAATTCTCCTTGTCTAGTTCTTTGCCTCCATGTTGTTAACAACGTCTTGGAAATCTCAAAAATTAAAGAAATTAATAGAAATGACAGAGTATAAAGATAGCAGGAATCTTGTGAGGTCATCTAATTTATCCCTGCGCAAAGGATGCAATTTATCCCCAAACACAGGCCTATCCTTTGATTGTGAACTTGCATAACCTCCTTGGATAACACAGCCCACCCTCACTTTTCCTACAGCTAAAAATCTTGTTCTGACTTTTTGCTGAGATTGAATAAAAATAATTAAAGATGAGGGGGAAAAAAGAACAAAGGTTGACTTCCTCCCTCAGAGCTATTTGTCTGATACCTGAAGACTGTTATACTTTATCATCTCAGTTCTCTTTTCCCTGGCACCCCTTCTCAACTGTTTTAATATTTCCTGGTAGCACACGTTTTCCAGACGTGTGATCTTTCTTGTAAATCTCCAGGTAGTCCACATCTTCCTGGAAGTGCTGTACCCAAAACTTGACACGGCCTTTCAGGTCACGATTTGCCAACACCAAGTAAACAGAAAGAACTATTTCTGTTTTCCAGCATTACTCTTGTTTAGCCATCTCATTAAAGTATTTGCCTTTTCACACGAGTATGAAAGTGTAAACATACATTCAGCCTGAGATTCACCATAATACAGCTGCTTCGCTGCAGTTCTGTTGCCCAGTCAGTCATTACCCAGACAATATTGGTGCACTTGGTTATTCTTATCTAAACACGGGATTTCACATTCATCTTGATGACTTGCATGGTATTTTTCCATACCACTTTTCCAACTGTTAAATCCCACAACTACGACTTTGACACTACCCAGGGTACTTGCAGCCCCATTCTGCTTTCTGACATCTAGCAATACAGACCTTATGCCTACTTATCCATCCAGGAATGAAAATAAGGGCAATGCTGCACCCAGTACCTTTCTTAACTTACCCCTCCAGTGTAACAGTCATTACAAACTCACCTGACAACAGTTTCATGTAGACCATGTTTCCCGAGCTTGCTTATAAAAGTATCATGCGGTACAATGTCAAAAACCTCACTAAACCTAAGCCGTACGACCCGTAATATTTCTTTCTATATGGGCTCTTCGTATGTCGCAGGAAGGAAATGAGATTGGTTTGATGACTTCTGCTTGCTGAACACAGACTAGCTCTTAGTCATCTTGATACAAATATTTTAATGCAAGTTGGGAGACTAAGTTCCCCTGCCTCCCTATCTGCAGCTTTAAAAATCTGGCCCTCTGAAAGATTCAACAACAGGGTCATATAGACTGACTACTTACAGGATTAGGTCTCCTGAGTGCCTAGGCATGGGAAGCAAAATAAGTAATATGAAGTAGGGCTTGTTTAGGCAGAAACCTAAGCTTTCTATCATAATCCCCAAACACCTTGTTTGTTTACCTCCTAACACTAGGTAAGTCTAAACTCCACAGAGCCTGACTATTATTTTTTATTTGGCAATTTTTCAGGGGCCCAATGTGATGTATCTCTGCATTCCTAAAAGTGCTTCTGCCTTCATTAAGAAGGCAAAAGCTAGGTTTTCTCCTGAACAGCTCACTGGGTGAACTTGGTGTCCTCAGGACTGGCCAGCCCACTGTGGGATGAGGCGCATTGCCCTCCCACTCTCCTTATGGAACAGAGGTCTAATGGTAAGGACGCTGTTCCAGGAAGGAGGAGTACAAGGGTACATTGCCATAGACTATTACTTTTCATTGAATAAGGCCTGGGGAACAGGCCCAATCACCCACCAGGCTACAGAGCAATGCTCACTCGTGTCTTTGTTTTTTTGACTCTGGCTGATTCCTGAATCCTTTTTCAAAACAGCTTCAGTGACAGTGGAAAGGATGCCCTACTTCACCTACAACCTCTTTCTTATGCAATGCTGTTTTGAATAGCTGCAGAAAAAGGAATTAATAATTCAGGTCTTCTATATCGTGCACTAACCCCTGGACTATTTTAAAAGTCAGTGAGGCAAAGATGTGGGTAAAGATATAGGAAGCTCCACGTTTTAAAGAGAATGAACCTCTGGAACCTCTGGAAAGGATCTTGTAATATTTATTTTACAAAAACTCAGATAATATCCAGAAATATCATCTAGCTAGTGCTGGTGTCATTGCCAAAGTTATCTATCTATTAGCTGTTGGGTTTTAGTAAATCTTCTGTCCTATTATCTCTGTTATTCTTCTTATTCACATTTCAATCCTTGTTTTCTTTTTCAGATCGTGAATGCCTCAAAAGTTTCTAGATCTATTTTAAAGGACCTGCCCAACATAAACAAACATGCAAACTAGAGGTTTGCTGTATACTGGCTTTGCCAGCAAATGCCAAAACCAGTATCTACTTCAGCATTTCTATTATTTTGTTACTTGCCATTATACATAATTCAGAGAACTGCTCTTTAATCAAGTTGTGACTGTCTTGCACTCCTTTCTGACACTTCTGCAATCTCACCTGGCAGCACTTTACCCTTCCCCAAGCCCAGCTGTGTGGCCCAGCAGTGTGTGCAACAGGCTCAGTTGCCCTAATTCCTTCAAGAGCAAAGCCCACTGTTGATAAGGTTGCAGTCTGTACTCATTATTTCCATGCACGTGTTCTTGAAAACGGTGATCCACTGAACAACCTAATGGAGTGATTTTTTTCTGTGCTGTTGCTCACCAGCACTTCGATGCCACTTTCTACAAACAAATGATAAACCTCGGAGAACTGTGTTCCTCAGTCATTATTTCTGATAAATATTTCATTTTTATTGTTTTAATGCTTTCTTCATTTTTCTCACTGACACAAGGAAAGGACAAGAAGAAAAAGAAGATACAATATGCTTGCTTCACCACCCTCCTGGAGGTAGGTACACTCCAGACTGGACTGACTGAAACCTAAAGGGAGAAGTTATATTACCATTCTTCCTTAGAAAAGAGATTTCTTATTTCCTGTGTACGTGATAAGGGTTTGGTTTTGGGTTTTTTTGACAAACCAAGTCTTTATTGAAACAACAAAATCACTGAGGGCAAACCTTGCAGGGAAAATATCAATTTTGTCACAGATTTCTCTGAAATCCAAGATGAAACTTTGCATCAGAAGCTGAAAGAAAACGGCACTCCTTCCCCCAGTTCGCCAGGTTCCCCAGCTGGTCACCGGGCAGATGACGGGCCACAGTTTGCTCCCATGTACTTCTTGGTGGAGAAGGCTGGGGCTAGGGAGCAGATGTCTCCTAGTGAGAAGGTCAAACGGCTTCCTCAGAAGGGCTGAGCCCCTTCTGCTGCAGCTCTTCCACTTTGTGCGAAGACGTGAATAATTAGTTCCCCACACCAAGAACCAGATTGATTAGAGACTTGATTGATTTAAACATTTTATAGAGTGGAAATTAGAAAGGCAAAAGCCC